GAGGTGTTCATCTCTAAAGGACAAATCAATTACAAGCTGGTCTCCTCCATCCGAAGGCTCACTAAAGTTGAACTTTGATAGAAGTAGCATGGGTAATCCAGGATTATCCGGAATGGGGGGTGCTTTGAGAAATGAGAAGGGAGAGATTTTGTTGCTCTACTAAGGTCCCTTGGGAATTGATGTTCTACTCTCAATTATGTTTGTTGTGGTTGGTGATCTCTTATCACCCCACATAGTTGGGACAATGCTTCATTGCATTAAGTTGAGTTGAGGTTATTCAATAATTTTGTTGCTTTCTGAAGATCTGGTGTACTATAGTTGTCATTTAATCATTTTATAATTTAATTTGTAGTTTGATAATTTACAATTAGCATGGAATTACTTCACATTATGCATAAATTACAGATATAGGTTATATAGTATAGATATAATTATTTGTTTATTGTTGCCTAAACATCAATTCCCTTGCCAGGATGATGCCCAAATATGGATATTGACAAAGAAATAGGAAATAGGGATATGTCTCTCCATTTACTAAAACCAAGAAATGGCAATTCCAACATTTGAGTACCTTATTTACTATCATCCTAGCATCCCAAAAAGATGAAATCAAGACTAACATGCTATTTTTTTCTAAGAAATGATAATTCCAACATTTAAGCTTTATTTATATCAACCAACAATATATCTATTCAATAATACAATAAACATTCTTGCAAAGGGGGGAAAAGACGGCATTCCACATACTTCAGGGTAATAATTGCTGTCAATCTTTTGAATCTCCATAAAAATATCCCTAGCTGGCTTTGTGAAGCTGTTCATACCCTACAGTAGGAAGATGACTTTGTTTAATAATTTGCAAGTTAATTATGCAATAATCTAAAAGTAATGAAGGTTATATTGTATTTCGTAGCTCTTGTTCATATACAGTTGTAAGTATAAAGACTAGCTTTTGAAAAAACTGAAATTTCTCAAATAAATGTTAATGCAGCAAGAAATAGTTGAGATTTGTTTTTTAAGAAATGGCTGAGATGTGTATCATGCTGTTGCAGTAAAGACTAAAGAGTCAAATATAGGTTACAGCACTAAAAATTGGCTAAACTTGCATCACTGATTATTGAAAACTTAGCAAGAAACAAGATTTGAATGCACACCTTAACAATCAAGATGTAAATAGATGACACACTTATAATATCCACTTTTAGGACTATATAAAAGGGCCATAAACCCATGTCAGTCCCAGCTATCTGTGTCTTGGGAGGAGCGGACTGGATATGGACCCAATCCAGCTATCTACCATTAGACTTGAACCAAGATTCTCACACACATACCCTGAGATTTTACTGTTATCTCCAAATAAACAGAAATTACCAGAAAGCTCCTACATAAATGTGATAACCTAAATAGAAGCTTTTATATCCCAATAAATGTGTAGGAAAATTCTTAGATATGTATCATACCAATGCAGTGAAAAATTGAAAGTAATATTTCTATTAAGTATCTCGGTCCAGTTATCACTTGGGATGTCACACAAACCGAATGGGAGAGTCTATAGGGCAACTATATGACTAGCTGTGCTACATGAAAGAGTATCTTGGGCAATAAAAATGATGAAATCTGTACTATATGCCACAGAAGGGCATTTTTGTCTTTTCCTCCTTTTTTATTTTGTCTTGTTCACCCTAACATATAAATAGCAATGCTGGGCGCCGCCAGTAGGGATTCTTTTTGGCTCTCATGTCATTCTTCTTCTTCTCCTCTTCCTCTTCTTCTTCTTCTTCTTCTTGCTGAACACATGGCATCAGAGCAGGTCAGTGCTCTGTAAAATCTCCTCAACTGCATCGGCTGAGTGTTCTATGATTTCTGGACTGAGAACAAGGGAAGCACACTGATGTTCTGGACCTGAGAACTGTTCGACTGCATCTCCTTCGTCTGTTCCGGGCTTAAACTCAACTGAAGCGATTCCAGGAGTTGTTGATGATTGGCTGGACCTTCCTAAGAGGTCGGCTGTTCTTTTCTTCTCTGTTGTTCCCTACTGTGTTACTGGAAAACCCAGAATTCTCTCGGACTGATCAGGGACACTTTGTAAACTTTTTTTTTTTGGTTCTTGGTGCTGATACCAAGAACAGGTTAAGGTTCTTTTGCCTTGACCGAATGATATAAGGTGGGTTTAATCCCTTTGTGGGTCAGATGATCCAGAAAACCCTTTTTTCCTTGTGAAGAAATCTGTAGGTCATGAGTGACCTGGTTCGGCTGTCTGGTACAGCAGCTGTTTACTGATGTTTGTGGCTAATATTAGCCTTGGAGGATATGTTACACCTGTGAGAGTGTTCAGGTGACCAGTATCGCAGCAGAAGTTGGTTCTTTGATTGTTATTTACTCAGAGTGAGGGCTGTGTCTTCTCTTGTGGTGTGTATAGACTGAAACCATGAATGCTGAAGAATCTGCAACTTCGGGAACCACCATGAATCACAGTGGAATGAGTAGTGGTCATGACTCCATGAATTTCCTAATGACTATCACCCCGTTGGATGGTAGGAATTACCTGGCTTGGTCTAAGGAGATGCGGCTGTATATCACAGCCAGGGGTAAGGCAGGATATATTAATGAAAAAATAAAGGAACCTAGGGCTGGTACTGCAGAATACGATAAGTGGGACCAAGAAAATTGCGTGGTTATGTCCTGGATTTTGACATCCATGCTACCATCTGTCAAACAGACTTTTATGTGGGCCGAGACAGCAAAAGAAATATGGGACCAAGCACAAGCAACTTACTCAGAGCGGAAGCATTATGCTAGAATTTACCAGCTACAAGCGGAATCTTCGACATGTAAGCAGGGAGAAAGGAACCTATCGACATATTATTCTGCCCTCACTTCAGTTTGGAAAGAACTTGACTATTACCAGAACATTGAGTGGGAAAGCGAAAAGGATGCTAAAGCATATAAAAAGTTAGTTTCACAACAAAGGGTGTTTGCTTTCTTTCTAGGTTTGAATCCCGTGTATGAACCTATTTGTGTTCAGATTTTGGGCAGCAAGGATCTTCCGTCTATCCAAGAGGTTTATGCACTTGCTCAATCTGAAGATAGTAGGAAGTCTACCATGAATCCTCCTGAGGGGGAGACCATTGCCCTTGCTGTAAGGGGTAACACTGGGGCACCGAGAAAAGGGGAAAATCATAAAAAGACAGATGATAAAGACAAAATGTGGTGTACTCATGGTCAAAAACCTAGGCACACTCGTGAAACCTGTTGGGAATTGAATGGGAAACCAAAATGGGCACAGGAATTGGGTAAGAAATCAACACAAGAGCCAATCAAGAAGCCATACCAGAAGAAGTTTACTTCGGCTCACTTATCATCTCATGAACATCAGAATACTTATCAAGGCTGCCCCCCTTGTTCTAACCCAAAGGAAGATATTATCAATTCCTTCCGTGACCACCTAGAGCAATATGGTAGGGCTCTCCGCAATGTTGATTCTGGACCCACACCTTCTACTTCTTTTGCCTCCTCCTCAGGTAATTCTACCTCAGCTTTCCATGTGTCTACTGATTCCGGTGCATCCAACCACATGACTAGTAAGTCAACATTGTTTCAAACATATTCTCTTCTCTCTGGCAGAGATAAAGTGAGGCTAGCAGATGGATCCTTCTCCTCCATTGCTGGTCATGGATCTATATCTTTGCCTTTTGGCCTCTCCTTATCTAATGTCCTACATGTTCCAAAATTACCTATTAATTTGTTATCCATTAGTAGTATTACTCATGCTTTGAATTGCTTAATAACCATTCTTCCACATTCTTGTGCTTTTCAGGATTTGGCTACCAGGAAGACGATTGGTAGAGGGAACATGGTGGATGGTCTCTACATGCTGGAGAACAAAGTTGGTCTTACAGTTTCAGAGTCTTTGAGCTCATCGAATAAGAGTCAGATTATTTTGTGGCACCACCGTTTGGGCCATGTTTCTTTTGAGTCTTTGAAGTTTTTGTTTCCAGAGTTGTTTAAGTTTTTGTCTATTAGTGATTTTCAGTGTCAAGTGTGCCAACTGAGTAAACATTGTAGAACCTCATTCCCTTTACGTAATAAAAGATCAGAATTTCCTTTTCAAATTGTGTATTCAGATGTGTGGGGACCTGTTAATATTCCAACTGAGAATGGTTATAAGTATTTTATTTCCTTTGTTGATGACTTCTCTTGCTATACTTGGATTTATCCTATGCATTCACAGGAGGAAGTTCCTAAAATTGTGAAAGACCTTCAGCATATGGTTTACACCCAATTTTAATCTGAAATCCGAATCTTCCAATTAGATAATGCCAAGAAATATTTCCATGGAGACCTTACAGATTTCTTTGCCTCCTGTGGCTCTCAACATAGGAGCTCTTGTACAAGAACCCCACAACAAAATGGGGTTGCAGAAAGGAAAGATCGACATCTCCTTGAAGTTTCTCAAGGATTAATGTTACAGATGAATGTTCCTAAAAGATTTTGGGTGGATGTTTTTCTAACTGCTGCCTATGTCATCAATAGAACACCGTCTCGGGTATTGGAATATAGGTCCCCTCATCAACTCCTTTGTTTCCTATCCCTATGCGGGTCTTTGGATGTAAGTGTTTTGTTTATGATCTCTCTCCTACTCATGGTAAGCTTGATCCCAAAGCTATTGTGTGTATTTTTCTTGGTTATCCCCTTGCTCATAAAGGCTATCGTTGTTTTGACCCTGTGTCTCTATGGATGCCTCTTTCTTTGAAGATGTTCCCTACTTCCCTGTTTCTCCTCAGGGGGAGAGTAGAGTTGAGGAGAAACAAAGTTAGACTCAAGTTTTGTTGCCCTCTATTCCTAATCCTCCTCCATTTCGTGTCTTTCGGAGATTGCACTACAAAAATCAAGGCCAACAGAGTTCAATTGCCACCAGAGCCACCGGAAACCATGCCACCAACACCATCAGAATCCCAGGGGCTGGATCCTTCACCCCACCCAGATACTATTGTTCTAGATGATGTTCTTGAACCTATTGATATTGACACTTCAAGTTGTGATCTGAACCTCCCTATTGCAAAAGGGAAGGGTGTCTAATCATGCACCACACACCACCCTATGAGAATGTCTCATCTTCCTTTCGTGCTTTTCTATCTTCCATTGATAGTATTCCCCTTCCCAAGAGTGTTGCGGAGGGCTTACTTGTTCTTGAGTGGACAGATGCAATGAAAGAAGAGATCAATGCTCTCCACAAGAATGGCGTGTGGGAACTGGTAGATCTTCCTAAGGGAAAGGAACCTGTAGGGTGCAAATGGATCTTCTCTATAAAACATAAGGCAGATGGGTCTGTGGAAAGGTACAAGGCTCAGCTAATTGCAAAAGGTTTCATACAAGTGCATGGGGTTGATTATGCTGAGACTTTTGCTCTGGTTGCAAAAATGAACTCTATCCGGGTTCTCCTATCTTTAGCTGCAAATCTTGAATGGGAGCTTCACCAACTTGACATAAAGAATGCCTTCCTGAATGGTGATTTGGAAGAGGAAGTGTATATGACTCAACACCCTGGTTTCTGTGCTAAGGGAAGTGAACATAAAGTCTGCAAATTGAAGAAATCCTTGTATGGTCTAAAGTAATCTCCAAGAGCTTGGTTTAGCAGGTTTCATCAAGAAGTTCAACAGATGGGTTTTAAGCAGTGCCAATCTGATCACACACTTTTCGTAAAGAGGGAACAAGGAAAACAACAGCCTTGATTGTCTGTGTAGATGATATTGTCATCACTGGAGACTTGGTCTCAGAGATTCAGAGGTTAAAAAAATTTCTTGCTACACAATTTGAGGTAAAGG